ACAAAGAGACAAGGGGATGGGTCTCCTGGAGATGGGAAGGCGACCAAGAGATCAAGGACAAGGGTGAGGGGAGGCGAAAGGGAAATAAATAGAACAAGGGTACATCACATACAGGAACCTAATACCTCAGTGGACGTAAAGGTTATATGTTAAAAACTGAGCTAAGATTAATAACATTGGGAAGAGTGGAAGTGAGGAAAGGGAAATGGGAAATGAGGGAGGAAGGAGGGGGAGGGAGAGGGAGAGCAGGGTATTAAAAAAAAAACCAAACAGCTGTAGTATGTGCACGCACACATTCCCCAAGAGGACAGTGGGCTGCATGAACTGCAGACATGTGCTAGTAAAAAAAGATGTGCACACAATAAAAATATGTCTTTCCAGTTGTACAATTTATAATTTAAAATGGATAAACTTTAAAATTCCAGGAGAAAAACTGAGATTAAATTAATTTATGGAAATATTTTAATATAACTTTATACAACATTAACATCTAAGGATTTTGGTTTCTTATAAAATGAATGAATTAGTATCAGTTTATATTAAATATTTCATCTTATCCAAAGTCTCATGTCTTGCTTTTTTAAATACATTTTTTTTTGTTTTTTGTTTTTTGTTTTTTCTCTGGTACCGGGAACCGAACTCACAACCTTGCACTTGCCAGGCAGGTGCTTTGCCGCTGAGCTAAATCCCCAGCCCCTATGTCTTGCTTTTTTAGAAAAATGATTTAAAGAATGTATCATTTTTCCTTGAATTTAGAGTTTTCTAGCTTCCAATAATCTATCCTATCTTGCAAACCCAAGTTTAAGCAAATCTTCTTTGCCCACTAACGAATGTTTTATTCCACATTTCCCATTCCACTGCAAACACAAGTTAGTCTTAACCCCACTCATGACACATCTATACAGCGTCCCACTTACTAGAACAAGGTAAAGTATTTTAACTTCATTCTTTCAATGTAGCTTTCATAGGTCTTGTTTAATTCCCTTCTGGGGATGTGCAAACAATTACGAGTGGTTTTCCTTTCAAGTGACATCTAGCTCTACCTTTGAGGGTTATTGGTCATCTCACCTTTATGTTCTTTGATATGCTGAATGTCTTATTTCTAATTATTTTCATGGAATTAATGGAGACAATGAAATTGTTACTACTGCTGTTTATTGTTTGTTTTGTTTTGTTTTTGAGACAGAGTCTCACTATGTAGCCCAGGTTTGCTTCAAACTTGCAGTGATCCTCCTGCCTCAGGCTCCTGAGTGCTGGGATTACAGACATGCATGTACCACCATGCCTCGCTCAGTAATGAAATTTTCAAAATCAGCTTGCGAAGAAACTGGTTTAGAAATTCAAAATAGTTTCAACTGAGAAATTTTTGTAGAGGGTCATAAAATGAGTGATCTTAACACAGGTCTGCAGGATGCCTTTAGTTTTGCATTCATAGACTTAACAGTTACATCATTATCTGAACAAAATATCTAAAGATTTTATATTAATTTAAATTGTGAACTTTGTTCTATTTTTGCTCTTATAGCTTCTTTTTATCTGTATATGTTGGCAATCCGTCATCATTACATTCACTTTGGGCAATTTTTATGTACACTTATTGTTTTTGAATGAATAAATTAACCAGCGGCATTCTAGCTCAACTCAATATTATTGTTCTCAGTTGACATGTCTTTCACTTCCTAATTAAAAATAATTTGCATAGATTCTTTCTGCTTCGAGCAAAAATAAAGTAATAAGAACTAGATTTATCTTCCTACATAAGAAAAAAACAAAACTGGACAATGGGAAACATACTTTCACATTGCAATAATATAAACTATCGTACTTCAGACAACAAAGGTTAACAATTTTTCAGAGATACGAAATAAGTAATATATTCATGATTATAGAATCTGTTTCTCTCAAAGCAAAAAACTCACCAAATAAAGGTAAAAGGCAAAGAGGACTTTATTCAAGATGACTGGAATAGGTAAGTGAGGCATAACTCTTGTTTACAAAAAATTAAAAAAACAAAAATTAAGAGTAGTAAAGGAGGAATTAGGGGAGAGATTTTTCAATGGTATAGTATTTATAAATTAACTGGAATTACTAGAAGTTAAAGTGCATTGATCCTGAGTTTTCCACAGTCTATTTCTGAGATTATAACATCACTGTTTGCTAATTGGTGCTTTTAGAGGATTGGCACCCAGTCTCCCATGAAGACGGGGAAACCAGGGTACAACTGTCACTATTTTTAAAAAGTTGTGAAGGGCTGGTTCACAGGCTCTTGCACAAAATTTCCAGGATCCTAAAGCAGCCAAAATGACTACAATATGATGGATATGTATCTCCAAAGAGCAGAGAAAGAATTGTCAGGTACAGGTTACTCCAACTGTCAGTTACACTTGTCAGTTGTCAGTTACAGGTTACTCTAATCGTCAGTTACAACGGCCAGTTGTCAGTTACAGGCTAAGCACAAAAGGAAGATCGGGGCTAAGAGCCACAAGAACCATGTCTGATGTTCACTCAAACTGGGGGGAGTTTAAGACCACTGTGATCTCTGAGTCCAGTTTCCTTCTCCATATGCAGGAATGGGGAGGGAGCCCGGCAACCTCTTGACAGTGGTGGATTTTCATCCCAGTGTTCCTGGGAAACAGTGCCCTTAAGAAACC